AGTTGTTTTTGTAGTATATTATTACGCAGTGTGATCAGGTTACTATCAGTTCCCACGTGCTGAGATTCTATGAACACATGTGTTATGCATTTATGAATGTAATTTTTGTCAATGGGTCTAAGCATACAGAATGTAAATATTAAACCATGAAGGTGAGTGTAAACGTTATGTATTCTCTATACCTGTAGCCACCAATGTAAAAGGTCCCAGTCAATATAAAAGGTCCCAGTCAATATAAAAGGTACCAGTCCATATAAAAGGTACCAGTCCATATAAAAGGTCCCTTTATTAGGAATATGAGGTACGAAAGGTCCCAGTCCGTGTAAAAGGTCCCTGTCCATGTAAAAGGTCCAAGTCCATGTAAAAGGTCCCAGTTTATCTTAGTTTCCTTTGTTAGGAGTATAAGGTAACAAAAGGTCCCTTTGTTAGGTAATAAAAGGTCCCAGTCAATGGGTGTTGGTCCATGTCTATCTTAGATCCCTTAGTTAGGGGTATAATTTATTAAAATGTACCGGTCCCTGTATATACGGTCTGCTGTGTGTAGGTCTCTTTTGTTAGTAATAAAAGGTCCCCCATGTGAAGGTCCCTATACATAGGTCCGCTTTTTAGGGGTTCGGTCTAAATCACAGTCCCTATGTAATGGTCCCTTTTTTAGGGATATCTATATATATATATATATATTGACTGAGGAGAATGTTCGACACATTCAATGTCTCTTTTAGTTTTACAATCGAACCCATCCTTTCAAATAAAGAAGGCATCCTGCCGAAGGAAAAAACATTCCATTAAGATTATTTGGTAAGCCATACACTGAAAACTCGAACCGTATATATACATATATTTACATTTGCATGGCATTGTCACTATATAGCCTCTTTGAAAGCTGTGTCGTTGATGGGACTTAAATTACCATGCATCACGAGACACAATTCTTAGCGTATTAATACAACACTGACCGGAACTACAATATCCAATATAAATAAACATGACGGCAGCTGAAATATCGCTGGGCATTGTGAGATTTGACAATGTCATTGTAAATTTATGTGCAAAATAAAAAATAAAATAAAAAAACACTTTTATTACAACGATAACAAGACCAAGGTCTGCAATATCGTACAAAATGCACATCGGTTGAAATCACCAATGCCGGCAACGGAAACAATTTTAACGGAATGCAATTTATCAGAAATAACGTCTTTTACACTGCACTGATCAACAGGGGTTCGTTACAAATGTCTGAAATACACATATTCTATAGACCTACTGACACATATGTTACAGACCTACTGATATGAGTCACAGCACACATAAACATTTCAGACATTTGTAACTCACTTCAAATGCTATCGGTTTCACGCGTCTCGCATCCACGGTTCCTCAGTTCCTCAGTTTCAGACGACATGTCAAATAACGACGCTGTTATAGAATCTACCGACTGTTGTCAGGTTCCCATACAATCAACAAATAAATTCACGCCTGGACTCTTCACAAAATGAGCAAAGAGAAAAGTTCGAATTAATTCCAAAAATAACTCCCTCGTGGAGGGCAAGGTCGGATTTACGGTGTTCACTGTATTTGTCCATGCGCGAAATTTGCTCCGGGGGAAAATCGTAACAATTTCAAATCTAACTTTCAGCTCAGAGTGCTATTGATAAACTTAAATCACCCTATAGACATATCATACGCAATTGTATTGATACTAAATTGTGGAATAAAATTGAAGTGTTTGTTAAAATTTCAAAGTACTACTTCGTTTGCCAATCAGCACGCGACAATACGCTGTTCAAACGATTGAACGAAATTGTGTGGACTGTCGATAAGGCGGGCATTTTTAACTTTAAATATAAATTATAAGTTAAAAAAGAACATAAGAGGCAGAAAAAACGTAAATATAAGTATTGAACTGTTTTTGTATGGTATTTATGATCTATTTGAATGACACAGCTTTGCAAGAAAACAAATCATAATGCGCTAGCGCGCATTATGTTGTTTGCTTGCAAAGCTGTGTCATTCAAAAAGATCATAAATACCATACAAAAACAGTTCAATGCTGAAGTATCTCCCATGTTGCAGGGTCATGCAGATGGTAGCTCGAGGGAGTAGGAATATTTTTTTCATTTAGATGGAAGTATTTGATAAGACGTACCTGAATCAATCACACCGTAATAGCTCGGTGGTTCGATCCGACTCCCATTAATATTATTAAGATGAAAGCATGTAATAAAATGTACATCACACCTTAGTAACCTGATCACACTCCCGTCAATATTTGTCATTCATGAGATGAATTTTTTTTTATAAGTGAAGATATTCCGTATCCATACTTATATACTTTATAGGGCACACAGGTTTAAAGTAACATACATAGCCACAATTCATCCACTTTCTACACGATGATGGACGGTAGAAGTACCCAACCATTATCTTTCTCTGTCGTAAATTAGGACTGCACCATGAGGCAGCCCTATATATGTATGCAGAGCTCAAACTCTGTGTGGCAACACACAGAGAAGTGATAAACGCTCCCAAAATGAAAGGGAACATCACTTTCTAGTGGAGAGGGTAGCGAGAAGGCAAATGCTTTCTCCTACGATGGTTTCGGAGACACGTAGTTGGGTGGAGTAGACGTGTCTCGGAGACAACTTTTCTGATGGGGAAGTGGTTGAACTCCTGTTAATACGGCACGGTTAACAGGAGTGACGGATGACGGACGGACGGTAGACTCTAATCCAGCCTGACATTATACGTCAGACAGTCCAAAACCTCTAAAATCACAACCGTCAAGCACCCAAGCTTCGTCTATGACTTGATTGGTAGCTGTGATAAATGGAGATGGCAGTCAAAAGACATTTTCACACATTTCTCTTGTTTACATTTAAGTTATTAAAGTCCATACTCTCCTGGAAATTGTTGTAATGAGAGAACAAAGTTGATTTGTTGTTAATGTAACGCTATCCAACAATTTCACCGGGAGGCCGTCCTCAAATGATCTTAGCTGATGGAACGTTAAGCAATAAAAAAAACACCATGAGAACAAGAATATTTTTTTTATAAATATCACCTTTAGTTTCACCCATATATATCAGCAATACCTGTAAATAGAATGCTGTTTCAGCACGGCATTTCAACAGACACATCTAAGATATCTAATAAAGAAAATCATGTGATATAAACGATAATTTCTTCAGTGTATAACGTTTTTCATCACCTGAACCTTACTGATGACATTGATATTCGAGAGAGCAGAGTTGTGTTATTGATGACAGAATGTAAAGTCAACAGAGGGTGACATCTTTATTGGTTTTGATAGAGCGCGGTTGATAACGGTTGAGTTCTTCAAAAAAATGATCAATTAACGCTTATATAGTACACGGTAAAGTTAGTAACAAAATTAAGTGCGTGAATCATTTTCATACAGCTAACCCTTGTGTATGGTGGCTTATATATGACATTTCGTCTTTTCGGTTTGTCGTCCGCGAAATAATGCCAAGCGAAATAACGAAATAACGAAAATACGAAAACCTGCCAAAGCGAAATAACGAAATAACGCCTAAACGCCAAAGCTCAATAACGAAAAGACGAAAAAGCGCCAACGCGAAATAACGAAATAACGCCAAAAAGAGGAAGAAAATACGCCATTTTTGGCGTTATTTTCACTTCGGTTTGGCGTTTTTGCGGGCGACAAAGCGAACCCTCTGACATACACACGACATCAAAACTTACTAAAGGATCCATTTGGTAAAAAGCTACATACGTATATGTCACTGTCTAATACTATTATAGGGCTGGGAGTCCTAAACGTATATGTCACTGTCTAAGACTATAAACGGGCTGGAAGTCCTAACAGTATATGCCACTGACTAACACTATTAAATGGCTGGGAGTCCTAAACGTATATGTCACTGTCTAAGACTATAAACGGGCTGGAAGTCCTAACAGTATATGTCACTGTCTAAGACTATTATAGGGCTGGGAGTCCTAACAGTATATGCCACTGACTAACACTATTAAAGGGCTGGGAGTCCTAAACGTATATGTCACTGTCTAATACTATTAAAGGGCTGGGGTCCTAAAAGTATATGCCACTGACTAACACTATTAAAGGGCTGGGAGTCCTAAACATATATGTCACTGACTAATACTATTAAAGGGCTGGGAGTCATAAAAGTATATGCCACTGACTAACACTATTAAAGGGCTGGGAGTCCTAAAAGTATATGTCATTGTCTAATACTATTAAAGGGCTGGGAGTCCTAAACGTATATGTCACTGTCTAATACTATTAAAGGGCTGGGGTCCTAAAAGTATATGCCACTGACTAACACTATTAAAGGGCTGGGAGTCCTAAAAGTATATGCCACTGACTAATACTATTAAAAGGCTGGAAGTCCTAACAGTATATGTCACTGTCTAATACTATTAAAGGGCTGGGAGTCATAATAGTATATGCCACTGACTAACACTATTAAAGGGCTGGGAGTCCTAAAAGTATATGCCATTGACTAATACTATTAAAAGGCTGGGAGTCCTAAACGAATATGTCAATGTCTAATACTATTAAAGGGCTGGGGGTCCTAAAAGGATATGCCACTGACTAATACTATTAAAGGGATTGGAGTCCTAAACGTATATGTCACTGTCTAATACTATTAAAGGGGTGGAAGTCCTTATATATACGTCACTGAATCGCATGAGCAGACCCTATTCTTAAAAGTTGCATTAAAATAATAAAAAACAACAGTTTTCAAATTTAAACATTTATTTAGTACAGTAAATAAAATCCGGAGTGTTAGAGTCCTGAGAGGTCGGAGTGGTGGAGTCCTGAGTGTCTGGAGTGGTGGTGTCCGGAGAGTCCGGAGTGTTAGAGTCCTGAGTGGTCGGAGTGGTGGAGTCCTGAGAGTCTGGAGTGGTGGTGTCCTGAGAGTTCGGAATGGTGGAGTCCGGAGAGTCCGGAGTGGTGGTGTCCTGAAAGGTTGGAGTGGTGGTGTCCTGAGAGGTCAGAGTGGTGGAGTCCGGAGAGTCCGGAGTGTTAGAGTCCTGAGTGGTCGGAGTGGTGGAGTCCTGAGAGTCTGGAGTGGTGGTGTCCTGAGAGTTCGAAATGGTGGAGTCCAGAGAGTCCGGAGTGTGGTGTCCGGAGAATGTGGAGTGGTGGTGTCCTGAAAAGCCGGAGTGGTGGAGTCCGGAGAGTCCGGAGTGGTTGTGTCCTCAGAGTCTGGAGTGGTGGAGTCCTGAGAGTCTGGAGTAATGGTGTCCTGATAGTTTGGAATGGTGGAGTCCGGAGAGTCCGGAGGGGTTGTGTCCTCAGAGTCTGGAGTGGTGGGGTCCTGAGAGTCTGGAGTAATGGTGTCCTGATAGTTTGGAATGGTGGGGTCCGGAGATTCCGGAGTGGTGGTGTCCGGAGAGTGTGGGGTGGGGGTGTCCTGAAAGGCCGGAGTGGTAGTGGTTGTGTCCTCAGAGTCTGGAGTGGTAGAGTCCTGAGAGTCTGGAGTAATGGTGTCCTGATAGTTTGGAATGGTTGAGTCCGGAGAGTCCGGAGTGGTGGTGTCCGAAGAGTCTGGAGTGGTGGTGTCCTGAGAGTTCGGAATGGTGGAGTCCGGAGAGTCCGGAGTGGTGGTGTCCGAAGAGTCTGGAGTGATGGTGTCCTGATAGTTTGGAATGGTGGAGTCCGGAGATTCCGGAGTGGTGGTGTCCGGAGAGTGTGGAGTGGTGGTGTCCTGAAAGGCCGGAGTGGTAGAGTCCGGAGAGTCTGGAGTGGTGGTGTCCTGAAAGGTCGGAGTGGTGGAGTCCTGAATGGTCGGAGTGGTGGAGTCCGGAGAGTCTGGAGTGGTGGATTCCTGAGAGTCTGGAGTGGTGGAGTCCGGAGAGTCTGGACTGGTGGTGTCCTGAAAGGTCGAAGTGGTGGAGTACGGAGAGTCTGGAGTTGTGGTGTCCTGAAAGGTCGGAGTGGTGGTGTCCGTAGAGTCTGGTGTGGTGGTGTCCTGAATGGTCGGAGTGGTGGTGTCCGGAGAGTTCGGAATGGTGGAGTCCGGAGAGTCCGGAGTGGTGGTGTCCGGAGAGTGTGGAGTGGTGGTGTCCTAAAAGGCCGGAGTGGTAGAGTCCTGAAAGGTCGGAGTGGTGGAGTCCTGAGAGTCCGGAGTGGTGGGGTCCTGAGAGTCTCTGGAGTGGTGGTGTCCTGAGAGTTTGGAATGGTGGAGTCCGGAGAGTGTGGAGGGGTGGTGTCCTGAAAGGTCGGGGTGGTGGAGTCCTGAGAGTCTGGAGGGGTGGTGTCCTAAGAGTTCGAAATGGTCGAGTCCGGAGGGTCCGGAGTGTGGTGTCCGGAGAATGTGGAGTGGTGGTGTCCTGAAAGGTCGGCGTGGTGGTGTCCTGACAAATTGGAATGGTGGAGTCCAGAGAGTCCGGAGTGGTGGTGTCCTGAGAGTTTGGAGTGGTTGAGTCCGGAGAGTCTGGGGTGCTGGTGTCCTGAAAGGTCAGAGAGGTGGAGTCCGGAGAGTCCGGAGTGGTGGTGTCCTGAGAGTCTGGAGTGGTTGAGTCCGGAGAGTCTGGAGTGCTGGTGTCCTGAAAGGTCAGAGTGGTGGAGTCCGGAGAGTCCGGAGTGTTAGAGTCCTGAGTGGTCGGAGTGGTGGAGTCCTGAGAGTCTGGAGTGGTGGTGTCCTAAGAGTTCGAAATGGTCGAGTCCGGAGGGTCCGGAGTGTGGTGTCCGGAGAATGTGGAGTGGTGGTGTCCTGAAAGGCCGAAGTGGTGGAGTCCGGAGACTCCGGAGTGGTTGTGTCCTCAGAGTCTGGAGTGGTGGAGTCCTGAGAGTCTGGAGTGATGGTGTCCTGATAGTTTGGAATGGTGGAGTCCGGAGAGTCCGGAATGGTGGTGTCCAGAGAGTATGGAGTGGTGGTGTCCTGAAAGGCCGGAGTGGTAGAGTGCGGAGAGTCTGGAGTGTTGGTGTCCTGATAGTTTGGAATGGTGGAGGCCGGAGAGTCCGGAATGGTGGGGTCCAGAGAGTCCAGAGGGGTGGGGTCCTGAGAGTCTGGAGTGGTTGAGTCCGAGGAGTCTAGAATGGCGGATTCCTGAGAGTCTGGAGTGGTTGAGTCCGAGGAGTCTAGAATGGCGGATTCCTGAGAGTCTGGAGTGGCAGAGTCCGAGGTGGCTGGAGTGGGGGTGACCTTAAAGGTCGAAGTAATGGAGTCCGGAGAGTCTGGAGCGGTGGATTCCTGAGAGTCTGGAGTGGTGGAGTCCGGAGAGTCTGGGCTGGTGGTGTCCTGAAAGGTCGAAGCGGTGGTGTCCGGAGAGTCTGGTGTGGTGGTGTCCTGAATGGCCGGAGTGGTGGTGTCCAGAGAGTTCGGAATGGTGGAGTCCGGAGAGCCCGGAGTGGTGGTGTCCGGAGGGTGTGGAGTGGTGGTGTCCTGAAAGGCCGGAGGGGTAGAGTCCGGAGAGTCTGGAGTGATGGTGTCCTGAAAGGTCGAAGTGGTGGTGTCCGGAGCGTCTGGTGGGGGGGGGTCCTGAATGGTCGGAGTGGTGGTGTCCAGAGAGTTCGGCATGGTGGAGTCCGGAGAGTCCGGGGTGGTGGGGTCCGGAGAGTCTGGAGTGATGGTGTCCTGATAGTTCGGAATGGTGGAGTCCGGAGACTCCGGAGTGGCTGTGTCCTCAGAGTCTGGAGTGGGGGAGTCCTGAGAGTCTGGAGGGGGGGTGTCCTGAAAGGTCGGAGTGGTGGTGTCCGGAGAGTCTGGAGTGGTGGATTCCTGAGAGTCTGGAGTGGTAGAGTCCGAGGAGTCTAGAATGGTGGATTCCTGAGAGTCTGGAGTGGTAGAGTCCGAGGAGTCTGGAGTGGTGGTGACCTTAAAGGTCGAAGTAATGGAGTACGGAGAGTCTGGAGTGGTGGTGTCCTGAAAGGTCGGAGTGGTGGTGTCCGGAGAGTGTGGAGTGGTGGTGTCCTGAGAGTTTGGAATGGTGGAGTCCGGAGAGTCCGGAGTGGTGGTGTCCTGAGAGTCTGGAGTGGTTGAGTCCGGAGAGTCTGGAGTGTCGGTGTCCTGAAAGGTCGGAGTGGTGGAGTCCGGAGAGTCCGGAGTGTTAGAGTCCTGAGTGGTCGGAGTGGTGGAGTCCTGAGAGTCTGGAGTGGTGGTGTCCTGAGAGTTCGAAATGGTTGAGTCCGGAGAGTCCGGAGTGTGGTGTCCGGAGAATGTGGAGTGGTGGAGTCCGGGGAGTCTGGAGTGGTGGATTCCTGAGAGTCTGGAGTAGTGGAGTCCGGAGAGTCCGGACTGGTGGTGTCCTGAAAGGTCGAAGTAGTGGAGTACGGAGAGTCTGGAGTTGTGGTGTCCTGAAAGGTCGGAGTGGTGTTGTCCAGAAAGTCTGGTGTGGTGGTGTCCTGAATGGTCGGAGTGGTGGTGTCCGGAGAATTCGGAATGGTGGAGTCCGGAGAGTCAGGAGTGATGGTGTCCGGAGAGTCTGGAGTGGTGGTGTCCTGAGAGTCTGGAGTGGTGGTGTCCTGAGAGGTTGGAATGGTGGAGTCCGGAGAGTCCGGAGTGGTGGTGTCCTGAGAGGTTGGAATGGTGGAGTCCGGAGAGTCCGGAGTGGTGGTGTCCGGAGAGTGTGGAGTGGTGGTGTCCTGAGAGTTTGGAATGGTGGAGTCCGGAGAGTCCGGAGTGGTGGTGTCCTGAGAGTTTGGAATGGTGGAGTCCGGAGCGTCCGGAGTGGTGGTGTCCGGAGAGTGTGGAGTGGTGGTGTCCTGAAAGTTTGGAATGGTGGAGTCCGGAGAGTCCGGAGTGGTGGTGTCCGGAGAGTGTGGAGTGGTGGTGTCCTGAAAGGTCGGAGTGGTGGTGTCCTGAATGGTCGGAGTGGTGGAGTCCGGAGAGTCTGGAGTGGTTGATTCCTGAGAGTCTGGAGTGGTGGAGTCCGGAGAGTCTGGAGTGGTGGTGTCCTGAAAGGCCGGAGTGGTAGAGTCCTGAAAGGTCGGTGTGGTGGAGTCCGGAGAGTCCGGAGTGGTGGGGTCCTGAGAGTCTGGAGTGGTGGTGTCCCGAGAGTTTGGAATGGTTGAGTCCGGAGAGTCCGGAGTGGTGGTGTCCGGAGAGTCTGGAGTGATGGTGTCCTGATAGTTCGGAATGGTGGAGTCCGGAGAGTCCGGAGTGGTGGCGTCCGGAGAGTCTGGAGTGATGGTGTCCTGATAGTTCGGAGTGGTGGAGTCCGGAGAGTCCGGAGTGGTGGTGTCCTGAAAGGTCGGGAAAGTCCAGAGTGGTGGTGTCCTGAGAGTCTGGAGTGGTTGAGTCCGGAGAGTCTGCAGTGGTGGTGTCCTGAAAGGTCGGAGTGGTGGAGTACGGAGAGTCTGGAGTTGTGGCATCATGAAAGGTCGGAGTGGTGGTATCCGGAGAGTCTGGTGTGGTGGTGTCCTGAATGGTCAGAGTGGTGGTGTCCGGAGATTTCGGAATGGTGGAGTCCGGAGAGTCCGGAGTGGTGGGGTCCGGAGAGTCTGGAGTGATGGTGTCCTGATAGTTCGGAGTGGTGGAGTCCGGAGAGTCCGGAGTGGTGGTGTCCGGAGAGTGTGGAGTGGTGGTGTCCTGAAAGGTCGGAGTGGTGGAGTCCTGAATGGTCGGAGTGGTGGAGTCCGGAGAGTCTAGAGTGGTGGTGTTCTGAAAGGTCGGAGTGGTGGTGTCCTGACAGTTTGGAATGGTGGAGTCCAGAAAGTCCAGAGTGGTGGTGTCCTGAGAGTCTGGAGTGGTTGAGTCCGGAGAGTCTGCAGTGGTGGTGTCCTGAAAGGTCGGAGTGGTGGAGTCCGGAGAGTCCGGAGTGGTGGTGTCCGGAGAGTGTGGAGTGGTGGTGTCCTGAAAGGCCGGAGTGGTAGAGTCCGGAAAGTCTGGAGTGGTGGTGTCCTGAAAGGTCGGAGTGGTAGAGTCCGAGGAGTCTGGAGTGTTGGATTCCTGAGAGTCTGGAGTGGTAGAGTCCGAGTAGTCTGGAGTGGTGGTGACCTGAAAGGTCGAAGTAATGGAGTACGGAGAGTCTGGAGTGGTGGTGTCCTGAAAGGTCGGAGTGGTGGTGTCCTGACAAACTGGAATGGTGGAGTCCAGAGAGTCCAGAGTGGTGGTGTCCTGAGAGTCTGGAGTGGTCGAGTCCGGAGAGTCTGGAGTGGTGGTGTCCTGAAAGGCCGGAGTGGTAGAGTCCGGAAAGTCTGGAGTGGTGGTGTCCTGAAAGGTCGGAGTGATGGAGTCCGGAGAGTCTGGAGTGGTGGTGTCCTGAAAGGCCGGAGTGGTGGAGTCCGGAGAGTCTGGAGTGGTTATGTCCTCAGAGTCTGGAGTGGTGGAGTCCTGAGAATCTGGAGTGATGGTTTACTGATAGTTTGGAATGGTGGAGTCCGGAGAGTCCGGAGTGGTGGTGTCCGGAGAGGGTGGAGTGGTGGTGTCCTGAAAGGCCGGAGTGGTAGAGTCCGGAGAGTCTGGAGTGGTGGATTCCTAAGAGTCTGGAGTAGTGGAGTCCGGAGAGTCTGGACTGGTGGTGTCCTGACAGGTCGAAGTGGTGGAGTACTGAGAGTCTGGAGTTGTGGTGTCCTGAAAGGTCGGAGTGGTGGTGTCCGGAGAGTCTGGTGTGGTGGTGTCCTGAATGGTCGGAGTGCTGGTGTCCGGAGAGTTCGGATTGGTGGAGTCCGGAGAGTCCGGAGTGGTGGTGTCCGGAGAGTCTGGAGTGATGGTGTCCTGATAGTTTGGAATGGTGGAGTCCGGAGAGGCCGGAGTGGTTGTGTCCTGAAAGGCCGGAGTGTAAGAGTCCTGAAAGGTCGGAGTGGTGGAGTCCGGAGAGTCCGGAGTCGTGGGGTCCTGAGAGTCTGGAGTGGTGGGGTCCTGAATGGTCGGAGTGGTGGTATCCGGAGAGTTCGGATTGGTGGAGTCCGGATAGTCCGGAGTGGGGGTGTCCGGAGAGTCTGGTGTGGTGGTGTCCAGAATGGTCGGAGTGGTGGTGTCCGGAGAGGTCGGATTGGTGGAGTCCGGAGAGTCCGGAGTGGTGGTGTCCGGAGAGTCGGGAGTGATGGTGTCCTGATAGTTTGGAATGGTGGAGTCCGGAGAGTCTGGGGTGGTGGTGTCCTGAATGGTCGGAGTGGTGGTGTCCGGAGAGTTCGGATTGGTGGAGTCCGGATAGTCCGGAGTGGTGGTGTCCGGAGAGTCTGGAGTGATGGTGTCCTGATAGTTTGGAATGGTGGAGTCCGGAGAGTCCGGAGTGGTGGTGTCCTGAAAGGCCGGAGTGTAAGAGTCCTGAAAGGTCGGAGTGGTGGAGTCAGGAGAGTCCGGAGTGGTGGTGTCCTGAGACTCTGGAGTGGTGGTGTCCTGAGAGTTTGGAATGGTGGAGTCCGGAGAGTCCGGAGTGGTGGTGTCCTGAAAGGTCGGAGTGGTGGAGTCCGGAGAGTCTGGAGTGGTGGTGTCCGGAGAGTGTGGAGTGGTGGTGTCCTGAAAGGCCGGAGTGGTAGAGTCCGGAGAGTCTGAATCGGTGGAGGCCTGAAAGGTCGGAGTGGTGGAGTCCTGAATGGTCGGAGTGGTGGAGTCCGGAGGGTCTGGAGTGGTGGATTCCTGAGAGTCTGGAGTGGTAGAGTCCGGAGAGTCTGGAGTGGTGGTGTCCTGAAAGGCCGGAGTGGTAGAGTCCGGAGAGTCTGAATCGGTGGTGTCCTGAAAGGTCGGAGTGGTGGAGTCCTGAATGGTCGGAGTGGTGGAGTCCGGGGAGTCTGGAGTGGTGGATTCCTGAGAGTCTGGAGTGGTGGAGTCCTGAAAGGTCGAAGTGGTGGAGTACGGAGAGTCTGGAGTTGTGGTGTCCTGAAAGGTCGGAGTGGTGGTGTCCGTAGACTCTGGTGTGGTCGTGTGATGAATGGTCGGAGTGGTGGTGTCTGGAGAGTTCGGAATGGTGGAGTCCGGAGAGTCCGGAGTGGTGGTGTCCTGAAAGGTCGGAGTGGTGGAGTCCGGAGAGTCTGGAGTGGTGGGGAGGGGTAGAGTCCGAAGAGTCTGGAGGGGTGGTGTCCTGAAAGTAGAGTCCTGAAGGTCGGAGTGGTGGAGTCCTGAAAGATCAAAATGATGGAGTCCGGAGAGTCTGGAGTGGTGGATTCCTGAGAGTCTGGAGGGGTAGAGTCCGAAGAGTCTGGAGGGGTGGTGTCCTGAAAGGTCGGAGTGGTTGAGTCTTGAAAGGTCAAAGTGATGGAGGCCGGAGAGTCTGGAGTGGTGGATTCCTGAGAGTCGGGAGTGGTAGAGTCCGAAGAGTCTGGAGTGGTGGTGTCCTGAAAGGACGGAGTGGTTGAGTCTTGAAAGGTCAAAGGGATGGAGTCCGGAGAGTCTGGAGTGGTGGATTCCTGAGAGTCTGGAGTGGTAGAGTCCAAAGAGTCTGGAGTGGTGGTGTCCTGAAAGGGCGGAGTGGTGGTGTCCTGAGAGTCTGGTGTGGTGGTGTCCTGAATGGTCGGAGTGGTGGTGTCTGGAGAGTTCGGAATGGTGGAGTCCGGAGAGTCCGGAGTGGCGGTGTCCGGAGAGTGTGGAGTGGTGGTGTCATGAAAGGCCGGAGTGGTAGAGTCCTGAAGGGCGGAGTGGTGGAGTCCTGAAAGATCAAAATGATGGACTCCGGAGAGTGGTGGTGTCCGGAGAGTGTGGAGTGGCGGTGTCCTGAAAGGCCGGAGTGGTAGAGTCCAGAGAGTCTGGAGTGGTGGTGTCCTGAAAGGTCGAAGTGGTGGAGTCCGGAGAGTCCGGAGTGGTACAGTCCGGAGAGTCTGGAGTGGTGGTGTCCTGAAAGGTCGGAGTGGTTGAGTCTTGAAAGGTCAAAGTGATGGAGTCCGGAGAGTCTGGAGTGGTGGATTCCTGAGAGTCTGGAGTGGTAGAGTCCGAAGAGTCTGGAGTGGTGGTGTCCTGAAAGGTCGAAGTGGTGGAGTACGGAGAGTCTGGAGTGGTGGTGTCCTGAAAGGTCGGAGTGGTGGAGTCCTGAATGGTCGGAGTGGTGGAGTCCGGAGAGTCTGGAGTGGTGGTGTCCTGAAAGGTCGGAGTGGTGGAGTCCTGAAAGGTCAAAGTGATGGAGTCCGGAGAGTCTGGAGTGGTGGATTCCTGAGAGTCTGGAGTGGTAGAGTCCGAAGAGTCTGGAGTGGTGGTGTCCTGAAAGGTCGAAGTGGTGGAGTACGGAGAGTCTGGAGTGGTGGTGTCCTGAAAGGTCGGAGTGGTGGAGTCCTGAATGGTCGGAGTGGTGGAGTCCGGAGAGTCTGGAGTGGTGGTGTCCTGAAAGGTCGGAGTGGTGGAGTCCTGAAAGGTCGGAGTGGTGGAGTCCGGAGAGTCTAGAGTGGTGGTGTCCTGAAAGGTCGGAGTGGTGGTGTCCTGACAGTTTGGAATGGTGGAGTCCAGAGAGTCCAGAGTGGTGGTGTCCTGAGAGTCTGGAGTGGTTGAGTCCGGAGAGTCTGGAGTGGTGGTGTCCTGAAAGGCCGCAGTGGTGAAGTCCGAAGAGTCTGAAGTGGTGGTGTCCTGAAATTTCGGAGTGGTGGAGTACGGAGAGTCTGGAGTTGTGGTGTTCTGAAAGGTCGGAGTGGTGGTGTCCTGAGAGTTTGGAATGGTGGAGTCCTGAGAGTCCGGAGTGGTGGTGTCCTGAGAGTCTGGAGTGGTTGAGTCCGGAAAGTCTGGAGTGGTGGTGTCCTGAAAGGTCGGAGTGGTGGAGTCCGGAGTGTCCGGAGTGGTGGTGTCCTGAGAGGTCAGAGTGGTGGAGTCCGGAACCACGGACAGATTTATCGTTTGGAAAGAACAGTGTCTTAGCTGTACTTATCAATTCTTCCATTCAATTGTTTGCTTACAGTTGTTTGTCTAGTACCATATCCTGTTTATTCTTTACTTGTTTTGCCTTCCTTTCTGTTGTCACTGTACATCCAGCCAAGCTCTATTCGTCCTGTCGATTTTAGTGCATTTGTATTTCGTTTCATCTCCAAATCTTGAAGAACTGCTTCTTTGTCTGACGTCTGAATGCTTTAATCTCAATCGGCCCCTTATTTCAGTAAACAGATTGGTTTTTCTTGCCTCTTTCGACGTATTTCCATTATGGCGCCTGCAAAAATCTTTGACTGCAAGTCTGTCCCCATACTCTGGAATGTAATTTTCAAGTTGTTCGTCTGCCATCAGCATGATAACAGAACAATCCACCTGAATATTGAGAATATTCGAATTCAGTATCAATATATTCATAAATGAGAGACAAATAGAGGTAGATGTACACAGCTTAGTTTCGCGATTCTACTCATGCATTCTGATATTTTCGTCTTACTGACGTATTTCTCCCATTTAAAGTAAAACAGAAGACATTCGTATTTGTATCTCTTTCAAGATGAGACGGAAAACCAGAACAAATGTGAAAATAACTCGTTTTAATATTTAGTTTTCAGAAACAAGTTATACAGATGACGTAATAGCTTTTTCATAACTGGCCAACATGACGTGAAAATGTGTTTTCACAAATCATTATGACGTTGTTCGCATTTTTGGTAAATAATCTAGTACCTTATCTTCCAAAAGTGGTTACATATCTATATCCTTCTCTTCGTGGAATTCCGTCAATGATGCAGCTTCCATCCTTTAGATTTCTGCAAATAACGAATTATACTGTTGTAACTATCAATTGGATCATCTCATTGTTTTTCTTTTATATGACAAGTTTGAAATTTCTGTAGCATTTAGAATATAGACACAAATTAAGTGTATGAAATTTCACATGGTTTCTTATAAGTACCATAACTTTGCACAACGCATTGTACTAACTCATCATGGAGAAAAGACTCTATGAACGGAGAGAATTTCTAAACACCGGGTTTATCACAAAGAAATTATATAAAAGTTGGAAACATTTGCTTTTGTAAGTTAGAACTATTGCACATTAGTATGTTGAAAATGGATACACTAATGACCTTACTCCTATTGGTACACTATAAAGCTTCGACCACAAACGTCAGCCCCTCGGTCTTTACTAAAAAAGTAATGAATTCGTGGAAGTCTTGGAACGGTTTATTGAAATTAATACGGTGGTACATTTAGGACAATACACACTATTATTTTCTAAATAAATTATCTCGAGCGCTCGATGAACATTCTGATATTTTCCTCGTTGCATATAGTTTTAAAATGTATTTGAAAAAAAAAGTAAAATAGAAGAAGTAATGTTTTTTTCCATTGAATACCATATACATTTTACACGACTGGCAGAAAATATCGACATTTCACTTGTTATTCGCAATCGAAAATAAATGAATAATGGTATTCAACGGGAAACCATTAAATATCCTTTCTTTATTGAGAGGATCGACGTGGGAATGTGTGGGTTAGTCTGTTGACATGACAACGACGTAGGGGCCTCTGTAGGTAGAGGAATCCCGATCACTTAGTTACGTGAAATATGGTTTTTTACTCTTTCGTTGTCATATGATTTAAAACTTTTTATGAATAAGCTATCTGTGGTTATCCTGTTTCCTGTAAAATTACATTTTTATTGTTTCCCATGATATGTTTGTCACAATAATAGTTCCACAAAATCTCATGTTTCTTGTTTATATGTATGCGACTCTAAACACAGTTTCTTGTATCTTGTTAGTCTGCAAACATGAGAATTTGCGGTGTTGTCTATTTTCTTGCCTCTGCTACAAAAATCACCAATCCTTGTAAAACCACAATGTCAATGTACGAATACCTTTGTATTTATGATCCCCCCACGTAACATTTACCGGAACACTCTAATAGCTTTATTTCTAAAGAACATACACGTATCTCGCTTTTTTGACAATTATCTTGTCAAAATGATCGGTAGCCGGATGACGTATTTTATACTTCAATCGTGTGAAATAATATCAATAGATATTTCTAATGTTTATACGTTTACAAGTACACTTCATGACACGTCAACATGCATGAAAGTACACCTGCTCGTCCCTAACAGACTGGAAATATAATAAACATACAGCACGTGCAAGAATTAAAAACGGCAGAAAACTGATCAAACACTATATACTGAAGTTAGATAAGTCATCTCTGATTGAAACTTTACAATTATAATGAATAACAACGATCAAAGATACCGCTCGACCACCACATCGACGATACCTGTACACTGGTGGACCCTTACCGTTTATTTTTTTCATTTTTTCGTTAATTTTTCAAAAACTGTTAATTTTTTCTCTTTTTGTGTTTATTTTTTGGATTATCGTTTATATTTGACGAGTCACCGTTTATTGTTTAAACCGACGTTTATTCTTCGAAGTCTTGTGTTTAGTTTTGAGTATACCCGTTTGTTTTTAAAACAGAGTGTTTGTTTTATAACTGCATGTTTATTAGTCCCCTACCGGTGAAACCGGGGGGACTATAGTTTTCCCCTCCGTCTGTCCGTGGGTCCGTCCGTCTGTCTGTCTGTCCGTCTGTCCGTCTGTCCGACTGTCCGAAGAGGTTTGTCAGCACTCTAGAGCCTTCATTCTTTCATGGATTTTAATCAAACTTTACACACATGTAAAGAATTAAAATATCTTCAACAAGTTCGAGTTTCAAGGTCCTCGGATCAAGGTCAAGGTCATTATTACTATAAATAGAAAAATTTTGTCAGCACTCTAGCGTCTTCATTCTTTCTTGGTTTTTAATCAAACTTCACACAGTCATAAAGAATTAAAATATCTTCGACAAGTTCGAGTTTCAAGGTCATCGGATCAAGGTCAATGTCACTATTACTATAAATAGAAAATCTTTGTCAGCACTCTAGCGTCTTCATTCTTTCTTGGATTTTAATCAAACTGCACACACTCATAAAGAATTAAAATATCTTCGACAAGTTTGAGTTGGACAGGTTCGAATTTTAAGGTCAAATGGTCAAGGTCACAGTTACTATAAATAGAAAATTTTATTTTACATTCTTCCTTGCCTGTTTATCAAACTTCACACACTTGAAAAGATACCTTTACAATCAACAAATAACATTTCTTAGTATTTTTATTCCTTTACCGGTGAAACTGGGTGGGGGTGGCAGGGAGGGAGAAGAAAACAAGAATACCTAAAGTTTTCCTCGCTGTCTGTCCGAAGAAGTTTGTCAGCATTCTTGCGCCTTCATTTTTTCCTAGTTTTTAATCAAACTTCACATTATTGTAAAGAATTTAAATATCTTGGACAATTTCAAGGTAATCGGGGCAAGACAAGGTCACTATTACTATTTTAGAAAATCTATGTCAGCACTCTAGTGCCTCATTCTTTCATGGATTTTAGTCAAACTTCACATTATTGTAAAAAATTTCAATATATTGGACAAGTTCAAGTTTCAAGGTCCTCGGATCTAGGTTGAGGTCACTGTTGCATCTTAATAGATTGCGGGGGCCGGTAGGGGACATGTATTGCTTCAGCAATACTCAGTATGCTTGTTTTTCAAGGAACATTGTTTGTTTTATAACTGCATGTCTACTTTTCACGGAACAGTGTTTGTTTTATAACTGCATGTCTACTTTCACAGAACAGTGTTTGTTTTATAACTGCATGTTTACTTTTCAAGGAACAGTGTTTGCGTTTCAAGGAACAGTGTTCCATTTTGGTGGAGCGTTGACCTCTCGCGGCAAATCGTTTAATTTTAGCAGAAAACGTTTAGTTTACGAATATCTTTTGTTCTGTCGGGTTCTTTCATGTCTGCCGACCGGCCACGCTCTCGTCCGCGACAGGCTTACCATATTGGCAGTGTAGCGGCTCGCATCAGTCAATCTTACCTGAGCTCGGTCAGAGCGCTCACCCGCGACGCACGTAGCCATCGGCTACCGGTAGTCTGAATCGTAAAAAGCACCGCTGTAACTGGTTCGTCATTTTCCATTGCATGCATTAAAAGTGACGTTTCTGTTAGTAAACACACGATTAAACCTTTGTTCTACGCCACCAACATAAAGTGGACGTTTTCCTTTTTTTTTTCGAAACGTTTGTTTTATTGTACAACATGATCAGCGAATCAATGTTCCCCAAGTACGTGTTTTATTGTACAGCATGATGAAAATACCAGTGAACCAAACCACACAGGTACGTGTTTTGTACAGTATGATTAAAATACAAGTGAATTAAACTACCCTTAGTACGTGTTATATTGTACAGTATGATTAAAAAATACAAGTGAATCAAACTATCCGTAGTACGTGTTGAATTGTACAGTATGATTGAAATACAAGTAAATCAAACTATCCGTAGTACGTGTTGTATTGTACAGTATGATTAAAATACAAATGAATCAAACTACCATTAGTACGTGTTTCATTGTACAGTATGATTGAAATACAAGTGAATCAAACTACCCTTATTACGTGTTTCATTGTACAGTATGATTAAAATAAAAGTGAATCAAACAACCCTTAGTACGCGTTTCATTGTACATCGGCATTATGTACATTTTTTGTTTTATGTTGTTTTTATGGTCTTGTGGAGCAGTGAATAAACAGTTAAACGTTTGGATGTGTTGGGTACTCTTTGACATGATGAACCCCGGTAGCATATTTAGAATAGTAAAGTTTAGTAATAGAAATCTCAAATAGGCCCCCCTCAAATTTATATCATATCTCCAATTTAAAGTTCATGTCCAACAGCCAAGAGGCACACATTTTTGTTATTATCTATCCCAAATGTAAGAGATGTGATGCTGCATTGGCGTACTCCATAAGATCCATCGTCTGGTTCTCAAGGCGCTCCTTCAGCTGGGTCAGTCGGCTGCTGATGTTTCGGTATCGTTTCTCGCGTGGTCTGTTGAATCCTCCTGCATCTCGTTGTATCCTGTTGATCTCGTTGGCTGCCTGAATCTCCTGGAACACTCTGATGATGGCGAAGATGTTTGGGTGTACATGGTGAACCTTCTTCATAATCTCTCTGGCGATGACGTTGGCATGGTCTGAAGGATGGGTGTGCTGGCGTTTTCCAAACCGTACTTGAATATCATTTAGTGTAGTCAGTGTGGCAGGGCAGGTGGCATTCTTCCCCCCAATGTTATTTTAAAAAGTGGGGGAAACGAGAACAAGCCCATGCCCGCTACTAAACGTATACACGTATACCCTGGCCAAATTCAAAGACATAAATACTCACCTCATCACGTCTGCATTTAAGGCTCTTTGCATAGACGTCATGTACATAGATAATAATCTTACAGCTTCATGTATAATAGTGATTGTAAGCGTTTTAGTTGTTTAACAATTATAACTAATACTATTATCCATATGTTGTAAAACGCTTTAGAGTGATTTTGCAAATTATATATGGCGCTATATAAATGTTGTATATTATTAAGTGTTGACGATATTGCTTAAGATATTTAAAGTTAATTGTTTGTTTAATATGTATATCATTCCTTATTTAACTGTTTAGTCCCATGTATTTTTCGTTAAGATTAACGCGTTTTACCTATAATGAGTGTTATGTTCTCTTATGTACAAGGTTTTTTGTATAAAAACCGCGGTTCCTGTATATCGACAAATTTTGTAACGATTTACTAACGACGGGTCCGATAAATTAGTTATTGTATGTTTTAAATCATCCAGACAATGGATTAACATATGTCCGCCACTGACTTTCACTTTCTTTCCTACTGCAGTTTGTTTGTGTTCTGATACTGCACGATTCGTCTTTTCCACCCGATACGAGAACTGAGCTTTGTTATTATCGTCTGTTCCGAGCAAACTTTGAGAATTAAGGTTGCGTACGCACTAAAACATTATAATGTTCTTTTCAACTTGCAAATAAAATAGTCGTGTCTGTTGTGTTTGTTGTACGTATATGGCTTTAGTTAAATTGCGTGTAATAAAGGGCTTTTCTTGGATCTCTTTTGATTACACTAGTTCCCGGATATAATGGACATATAAATCATGATGAATTGTATGTAGGAGAGACTATTTGTTGGTATTTGGTCATCAAATAAAATAGCAAATATGTGTTCCGGTATCTTCAGTCAATTTCCGTTTTTTTAAATATATTTTAGCATGTATATATCTGTCCCAAGAAGGCAGATCGTAGCAAGTCTAGTTTTTGTACTTTACATGTACTGTATATGTACCGTTGACGTTTTAAACGTTCATTTAAGTAACCCATTGTTCATAAATTGTGCAATTCCAATCACTATGAAATAAAGGGTATATTTCTTTGCATTATTATCTTATTTTTTGCTAAAATCTAGCTACTGCTTATTTATATATGTAATCGGTATTTTATGATTGATGTTATATAAAATAGGTCGCAAGAGTTAATGCTTGTATTATAATGCGGCTTTAAATAAAGTTTTCTTTTTCGTATTTTGTGTTGAAATCTGTTTAAAATCTATGCCATGTCAATTAAAAATTCAGTATCACTAATGTTGAAATTCAAATTCCGATCCAGTCTTAATTACCTGTAACAAAAATTCCATGACATTAATTGCTACGGCCTTATAAACAGGCAAGTATACATCAACAACCCCCGTCATTTTCGAATGACATGTTTATGTAGCTGACAGCTCATAATAGGACTATGTGTGATATTTTACAGGATGATTAAAATACCAGTGAATCAAACTACTCTTAGTACGTGTTATGTTGTTCATTCTTACACGATTCGTTTTCAACGCGAGTTTTGATTGGTTACGGACCATGTTCTAACCTGCGATAGAACCATGCTCAATCGTGTTAAGCGCCACCCATCGCACTTTATCCACGCCCTAACCAAAACAATAAATATGTTTATACCCTATCGGTCTCAAGTTCAAACCAAATTTCATGTTCTTATCGCCAGTATATAAGCCACTCAAAACAACGTACTATCCACCAAGTGTGATTATACAATCACTGAATTAATTTAACCTTAGTACGTGTTTTATTGTACAGTATGTTATAATACAAGTGCATCAAACTACACTTAGCGCGTGTTTATTAAAATACAAATGAACACTCCAATAATATGTCGAAATAAAACGATGGAATTATGACGTGTTTATAATTTACATCAACCTGGTATTTTGAAATATATGTTGTTCTGAACAATAAATATGTCAAATTAAACTATAAGACTGCCGTGTTTGTAATTTACTTCAGCCGTGTCTGTTGAAATATGTGTTTGCTTATTACTCGATTTGTAATAAAAATGTATAATTTACATACATGTGTTGTGTTTGTATTTTTATTCGACCTGATGATCTGAAATACGTGTTCATTAAACACTCGATTTATTTGTCAAATAAAACTATAAAACTGTGGCGTGTTTGTAATTTACTTCGAGCTGGTGTTTTAAAATACGTGTTTGATACATACTCGATTTATATGTCAAATTGAACTTTGAAACTGTGCCGTGTTTGTAATTTACTTCGAGCTGGTGTTTTGAAATACATGTTTTAAACACTTGATTAATATAACAAAATAAAACTGTTCCGTGTTGGTAATTTACTTCGACCTGATGTTTTGTAATACGTGTGTTTCATAATCGATTGATCTTTATAAAGCTGCGTCGTGTTTGTAATTCATTCGACCAGGTGTTTTGAAATACGTGTATGTTATTTATGTGTATATTAATGTTAAATAATGTGTCTATAAACTGCAAGGTTCCGAGCAATTAGACATACAATAACCTAAGTTTTCTACACATCAGATGTGCTTGTATGTAGTAATGCCTGGTCTTATTTCATTTTCATTGGAAGAACATGATATAAGAAGTGTGATGAACATGTGGTGTTGAATTGAAAAGACATAAATGTAAATTGTATTGAAAAGACATAAATGTAAACTGTAAGACAGAAAAAGTACAATCTTGCTTGAATTCAGAAAATGCTTGGGACATGGTCCCGGTTTTATAAAACATCTCAACTCTTGAGATTTCCTCAAGTCTAAGATTTCCCATTTTTTTGTGTCCCATAGACAATAAATTGCTTAAGATTTTCCTTAACTTTGAGATGTTTTATACAAGTGGGCCATGGTGTCTTAATGTTATAACTATTCGTGTATACATTAGTGTATAGATGCTATGCGACATTACAAACAACTCGAATACATTCTTGGTGAAAGACATTATCTAACAGCCAAGCCATTTCATTGTATTTCAAACTGCTATCACACATATTTCAAAATGTATGCAGATGTTATCACATCCTATTTCCAAATAATATTTTTCTTTCTTTCGGTCTTTGTGCCATGTATGTTTTTTTCTGTAAAAGAATGTTCTAAATACGGTTTTTAAAATTATTACCACATAGGCAGTAAGCGCTTACTATATACATGCTTATATTCCAAGTGTCAAGTGATATAATCACATTCTGTTTTTAAATAAATTGTGGGTTTTTTACCATTGTTCCCAGTGAATGGAATGAATGCTCTGTATTTGGCTGTACAAACCTCAAAATACTTCACGTCTTGGTGATTATTTAGCAATTAAAATGGGTTGGAGAACAAAGCTTTGTTCCATTTGAAATATCATTTGCTCAATCTTAAAACAAATTTCTTCTAAGTGTTCAATTGATTTATAAAGCGGTCGGTCCCTTAACCTTTCACATAGCAATATGGACTCACAAAAAGTGTACACATGTTACTGCGTCCAATGCCAACCTATTATGGTCATAGAGGAAGGGTCGTTGCATATCAGACATTTTTGTAGCACATTACATCGATGTAACAGAATGGACACCGAATTCAGGACCACCCTTGGCTGCACAAATATTGCAGCGATATCCCTAGCCTAAAGGTAAGTTCATTTTTTTAAATCTTGACATGCACAAAAAAAGAACACCCACAAATACATAAATAATTTAATTTTGTAACATGCCATTATATAATATAAAGTGAAAAAGTGATGATCTTCTGTAAATTAATTATTGGGCTAATGAATTGCAAATAAAGGTTAGCTCTTCAACACAACAGTAGGGATTACTAGGTCCAGATGAAATACTCACGACCCACCTATCACTTTTAATAACAAAACTGGTAGAGTATCTCATAAGCACTTGGGTCTAAATTTAAATAAATCGGGAACATGGAACAATCATATTAACATCATTTAATGCGAAATGAAAGTGGTGTTGTCAATCCCTGCTATCTAAGTTAGTGCTTTCGGTCATAGGATTTAATACTACGGAAAGGCAAGACATAGTGGATATGCAAAGTATGAGGGCGATGCAAGGTGAGTTATTATTAATTTGTGTTATTTTTGTTTCAAAAAGAGCTAATGTTTGTATCACGTCGGAAATTGCGTCATTTTCAGTGAAACCATGTTGTCATTTCGCTGTTTAGATCAAATTTTCTTCTAATAGGCCCATATTCCACCATTTTTCAAACGTGGGATATCAATAAATTAAAAAGATGAGTAATTTTTGCAGGTGTTATTTGTGGTATGTCAGTGTTTTTGTTTTTATTGGTATTGAAACTGACCACTACAGTACTACAGTACTGTGGCGGTACCCAATCTGGGACGGTACCCAATCCGGGACACTTGTGGGAAAGGGTCTAATGAAAATGGCACGTAATACAAACAAGCAATTTTATTTTTGTAATTTTTATTTAATGATACTCTGAACTGTATGCCGACTTATTTGACTGCCGAATCTGCGCGATTACAGGGGTGTACAATTTAATATATCGAGTACTAGTCCACTACACATCCCTGTCAAAATCGTCGTCTGAAATGTCCGACTCATTATATTCTGTAAACTCCCCAAGCAAGTGTTCTAAATCTATGTCATCATCCCAAGACAGAAAATCAGACGTTGACAAGTTGTGTGATTCATGGTGAGACAATTTTAAAAGCGCTGAAGTATTCGATCGTGAAATGCTATGAACCGACTCCCTCAGAGTCCAAACCAAAATATAGCACAAACTCAAGATACAGACGATAATATCTCCAACACAACTACTGTACA